TAAAATTGGCAAGAAAGATCGATGCAAGAAAGCTGATAAAAACACAATATAGTAATTGTTGTAGTCCTAGGGTACCCCGCTGGTACATAGGGCCCTCACAAGTTGTCTCCACTTTACCCTGTCTTGCGCTTGCTCCCTGACATCCCTCCAGGTCACGTTGGCAGTCCTCATCTCACTCTCTACGGTGCGTCGCCAACTGTGTACAGGGCGACCAGGTCTTCTCCTGCCAAGCGGTTGCCACTCAAACGCGATTGATGCTGAGTTGACTCCGCTTATATAGTATTGACAATATAGTAATAATGTTTTTTTTTTATTTAGATCTCTTAGTGAAATGGTTTTATCGATCATTAACAGATTAAGCGTAAGTAAGATTAAATGTGTCGTTAAGACTATTAACGTGGGAATAAAATAAGCAAAGTTTACATGAGACCAATTTTGATGACGGCATACAACAAAACTTAAAAAATCTCGGCATTGCTACTTGTGGATATTTCTTTACAATGTTATGTGGATACTGAAAGCACCACAAAAGATAAGAAATGCATGAGCGTTAGGTAGACACACACATTTATTAAAACTGGGTCTGAATGGCTGACCACAAGGCGCCAATAAAAGGATACAAATGATACAATGGTCCCCGATATAGTGACGTGAATTAACCTTAGAAAATGACCTCACACGTGGATAGATCGAGTGCTATACAATAATAATTTAACAACTATTATGTCAGTTTCTGTGAATGGTGAATCTATGAATCACACCAACTCATTAATTTAATGTTGTAAGGTTTTAATCTGCGTACAATTAATTTTCATTGTTTTTAATTATCTTTAATTTAAAATAAAGTACAAGTCATATAATATTATAAAATTATATTCTTATTTCGTATGAGCATTTATTTTTATTGCAATTTTTTGTTATCATTGACAAAATGTAGTGAGTGTTTTGGTTAGAATATTAGGTAGAAAGGGTAAACTAAAATGGTCTTAGCCCTCGATGTTAAGTTGCTACCTGAACATTGGACCTCAAGCATCACCCTCTAACCTTGGGATCGGAGCTTGAAGTCTCAAACATATGTAATGTCTTACATTTCAAGCCAGGACTGATTTCTTCGGGGCAGAAATAGGCGGATGGTAGTACAAACACGTGTTGGTTCACAATTACCATAAAATCGGTGGTCACGCTAATAAACTGTATAGGTTTGAACATAATGAAAACGTAATTTGTACACTAAGACTTTTGGCCCATGGCAATAATGACGGTAAATCTTATTATTTATCTATATATATCTTGCACAATAATAATTGGCCAAATGTCACAAGCTGGCTGGTAATAATAGGCTCCTGTCTCAGTGTCTCAATATCTCGAAACGGACATAAATTTAATAAGTGCGTCGATCTTAATGACGTCACTGTGACTCAACTGGTTCCAATAACGGTTACACTCGTTGTTTATATAAATAAATATATTTATTATATTTAGTGTTAATATTGTTTCAATCAGTTCACTTTGTAACTTTGTGGCGATCACTTGTGTCTCATTACTAGTGCTTGATTGATATACAGACTTTGTAAAGTATTTTGTGAAATTCAATAATAAGTTCTAAAAACAAATATAGTTACAGAAGGTTGGAAAAACCAGTGTTCACAATGTGTAACTGTAAATTTAACCTAAAAATTAGCGTTAAGACATGCTCCATAAAATGGGTAAACATTGTGAGTTGATTTGATTATTAGATTATTTTATGCGTTTTTTCTTTCTTATCTTGTCTGCTGGAATGTTACATGCTGTGCTTTAAGTCGTCGCGGCCTAAAGGATAAGACGTCCGGTGCATTCGTGTTGAGCGATGCACCGGTGCACGAATCTCAGGCGGGTACCAATTTTGCTAACGAAATACGTACTACGTAAGTACGTACGTAAAAAAAATGCTGACGGCAACAAATCTGTTCCATTTTGTTCGATATCGAGCCGCTTTTAGTTGGAATTTGGAATATCATAACTTCACAAATTACTCTAAAATCTAATCGCACTACCATCTAGGTGATCTTTCCAATATTCAATAAAAAATTAGAAAGATTATTCGTCCAACAATAGTGCTATAGGAAATTGTTCGCTTATTTTGAAGCTTTCTGAAAAAAAAGCTCGTAAGATTTCACTGAAGGCACGCTGCACAGAACCGAGATTTGATTTTTAATTCATTCAGACCGGAAAGTATATTGCGATTATTTTTTTAAATAAATAGTATATATAATCTAAATCAACTTTTAAAATACGTTACTTTTATAGCATTCGGACTTCGGGACATCTGAATTCTTGGTCAAATTTGTCCCAGTCTAGGCATATCTGTTCTCTTTATTTTTGCGTAATTATCTCAACATTTTATCAACTCAATTTATCTTCAATTGGTACAAAGTGAAATATCATTAATGTATTCCTAGTTTATAATTTTGGTATTAAAAATAATGATTCCTTTATTCACGAGCGAGTAACGCATTCTAAAATGATCCTACGTGTGTTAACATGATATTCAATGATTTTTTTATGGAAATTGATAAAATCGACATGTACCTAATTAATTTAATATTTCGAAAACGTCAAGAAGAGCGCAACTAGTATGTATTTATATTCACGTTTGTTTTTTTTGGACATAGCCTGTCAGAAACATCTATACTAATATATATTATAATTGTTTGTTTTATTGAATAGGCTCCGAAACTATTGAACCAATTTGAAAAATTCTTTCACTGTTTGGAAGCTACACTATTCCCGAGTGACATAGGCTATAATCTTTTTTGAAAAAAAAATAGGGATCTTTACTAAAACTCCAATAATGTAACCCAAGGTGTAAAAAAATTACCAAAAATATTTTTTACATCGAGTGCGCTGCGATAAGCAATTCACGATAGAATAAAACAATGTACTATGACTTTGCAGAACACATTATTATTTACAAAAAGTGCCGCAAATGTCTAACTAATATAGTTATACCGCAATAAGTTCGCCCGGTCCTTGTGGATTGGGTGAATCGTGACAGAGGACGCCTCACTTTCCGGCTCACGCAGGTTCTCACTGGGCATGGTTGCTTCGGTGAGTTCCTGCACCGGATCGGAGCCGAGCCGACGGCAGAGTGCCACCATTGTGGTTGCGACTTGGACACGGCGGAGCACACGCTCGTTGCCTGCCCCGCATGGGAGGGGTGGCGCCGTGTCCTCGTCGCAAAAACAGGAAACGACTTGTCGTTGCCGAGTGTCGTGGCATCGATGCTCGGCGACGACGAGTCGTGGAAGGCGATGCTCGACTTCTGCGAGTGCACCATCTCGCAGAAGGAGGCGGCGGGGCGCGTGAGAGACGCACAATCCCGCCGCCGTCGAGCGAGGGCCAGGGAGGCGGATCTCGCCCAAGCCCTGGCCCTCTAAGTGTTTCGGGTCCCCCTCACATGTCGGTCTGGGGACCGGCGAGGGGGGCCTAAGAAGACGACGTGCAAGCTGCTCTGCACGCGTTTTACGCAAGAGCATCCGGGTGATGGAAGGCCGGCTATCCTCGACCCACGCTGGTTCTGGCCCAGCGGGGTATTCCGTAGGGTAACCCACTCTAACCGGCGCCATCTAGGCGGGCTTCGGACAGTCTGCCGACCGAGAGGGCTGGTGGTCGTGGCGCCGACGACCGCCAGTCCGGCGTCCCGAGGGGGAGGGTGATGGGAGAGATGTGCTCCGCACTAAACGCTTCACTTTCCCCCCTCTGCCTCTTCATGAGTTCTGTCTCATGCGAGGTTTGGACGTTGGTTGTTGAGCGACAGGAGGTTTTAGTCAGTTCGACTCTGACATGCCCCGCCCTCCATCCCCAGTGGAGGGCGGAAGTCCGGCGATTTCCTCCTGACAAAAAAAAAAAAAAAAAAAACCGCATTCAGTGTTATTTTATTTTTAAAAATAAAACAACGTCAAATATCGTTGAAATTTTTGTTAAAGACCCGAGCGGAGCCGGAGCGGGCCGCTAGTCGTAAATAAATGTAGTACATTTAACAATACTGTCTCAGCAAATAGACTGCACTCACTCCGCGTAACCGTATATCTATTTTCAATATCGATTAGTACCTGGGAATTATAAATAAGTAGATATAAATTTCTGCCAACATTAATTATGATAAGGGAAGATAGTGTTATTTTAAAATATGTAATGATTTCATACGCCTATGTTACCTACATTTTCAAATAACAGTCAGAGTGTGTATGTATTTTAGAAAAAAGCTCTTTGATTACCATTTTTGGCGTTGCCAATAAATAATAATGATTTTATCAACACTGCTTTTCACTAAAACTATTCGACAACCAGAAAAATTTACTTGTTTTAGGTACATATCAAATCTTAAAAATGTGCTCCTAAATACGGATGAAAATTAAATTATGTAACTACTGTTCCATTGTTGTCAATAATATTGATCGATTAGAATCGACTGTCAAACGACGGCATATAGAAACTGTCATTTTATGCGCCGGTGGAACGTAGGACGCGGTTTTGTCGCAGCTGCATGTCGGCAACATATGCGCTCGTCATTGTCTAATACTAATGGGGATGAAATACGACTGACACATTGAAGTTTATAACGCTTTTGTCCTGTAACGAAATTGATTTGACGAACGTGAGCAAAACTGATTATTAGGAGACTATATTGTAAAGTCTAAGCCTAAAGTAAAGCACAAAAGACAAGAGTTTTACTCTCGAAAGGATTTTATTTAAACCCAAAATATATTGGCTTTTTTGCTTGAGTGTTAAGTTTCGAAGTGTCACCTCCGAATCAGTTTTCGATTCGTTTCTTGATTGATCATTATCATATTGGCATGTGGTATTTTTCGAAGATTATCTTCTTGAGTTATTGAGTCCTTATCGCGGATTAACAAATCACAAATTTGTTTAAAGTAGCTATAGCTATAGAATTAATATCTAATTAAGGAACTCTAAGACCCTTCCTTTGTTTCTGAAAGAATTTAATTGTTATATTGCAGTGTATGGCGCGTGCTTTGTATGATAACATTGCGGAGTCTCCGGACGAGCTAGCTTTTCGAAGAGGCGACCTGCTCACCGTGCTGGAGCAGAACACCGGTGGCAGCGAGGGCTGGTGGCTGTGCTCGCTTAGAGGAAGACAGGTATTTTTATTTCAAATATTCGAAAATTATTCAATATAGATTTTCATTGGTCATTATTGCATAGATTTCATGACCGTCCGCTATTGTTTGTCGAGAAACCGTACTATCGTTATGATTCATAACCTAAAGCACGAAACAATTAAATCTCACGTAGGCACGAATGAGTAATTATTGTTTTGTTGATAGCTGTAGTGTAAGGTCGTAATTTGTGACATGTATTTTTCAGGGAATATGTCCGGGCAATCGGCTGCGGATAGTGGCGGGCGTGTTCGACTCCAGTGGAGCGACGCAGAGGCGGCGAACGAGGCCGCCTGCGCCCGTAGCCCACCAGCCACTTCCCACACAACAATCTCCCGCGTTTACCAAAGTAAGTTTTTAGGTATTTAATAATTTGGTAAATAAAGTATTGTTTACAAGTCCAATCTTATAATATATTAAACAAATGTATTTCTTTCATTGATCCATAGAGCGCTTACACTCGCACCTTCGTTACTTAAAGTAGACCCATGAACCCGATCTGAGTGCTGTCACTTCATCCGCGCTAATTAGTAGTTAGGTACTTAGTATTTCCAGACAAAACGCGATTTTTTGTTTGTTACCCTTTTGCATTCACTTTAAACCTTTATAGTTGATTCCTATCTCTTAGATAGGTACATCACGTTCGTATCGTGAAACTCATTTTGGTTTTTGTTTCTGAACGCTCTCCTATGGGATCCAGGTGGACCATAAACAATACAATTTGAAGGTACACGAAAAAGGGAAGATCTTCCACCGGGCGGATGATATTCCTCGGTAGACGGACGGTCCAAATGTTGTTCGGAACTTGTATATATGCAAACTTATCCTGAAAATGTCCTAAGCGAGATTCATCTGTTTATTTAATGTTTTGTATGATGGCTGCCCGCTACACAATCGTCTGTACAGATCGATTTAACACAAATTCAAATTTCAGATAGAGGAATGTTCACACTATGACGTGCCCCGAGCGCCGATGCCCGTGCAACGCATCGCGACGTACGATTGCCCGCGACCTCTCGGCGACTGGTACGACGCGCCTCGCGCCCCGCGCCCCGCCAGTGCGGACTCCGCTTGCAGTGGGACCGGATCCTTAGCTTCGGCCACATCGAGTGCGTCCGCGAATTCTGCCAACTCTGGAAGCTCGGCGCACTCCGCTTCGAGCACTTACGATGTTCCTCGGACACGTGCTCTTCCTTTGCCTTGTGACGCCGCATTGGAAGCATTAGAACGATTGCAGGTGCAAAAATTTTCTATTTTAGTATTATTTTGACGATTTATGAGGTTATAACTCAAATTATTCTTTTAGATGATGATTTGTGGTTTTGTTTATTATTCATATACCATATTTGTGAGTCATTTATCCTTTTGAATTACAAATTTGTGCAAACTCAATTGTTATGTTAAAATATAATAATATTATTAGCCTAGATGGGCAGAGCGGCTCACGATTCGCCTAGTAATAAATGCTTACTACCATAAACATTTTGTTTATATAGTAAGCATATATTGACCATATATAAGCTGGCATTTGCCAGCATCCAGCGTGAGACATGAGGTCAAAGTTTTAATTGGATTAAGCTTCGATTCCGATTCCACCTCTTGCAGCCTTAACGTTGCAACAATTATTACAATATTTACTATTTCATCATCATCATCACAAACGTTCATACTGAATTTTACCATTTAGGCCAGCTAATATTGGTTCTGATTGCACCACTTTTAAAATCGAACAACACAATACGACAATAACATAAGCCGCCATTATAAGACTTAGGTACTTTATAATCTGTATTTAAAATCACTAGTACCTAGTTTTAGTTTTTTTGGTCTTTTTGGCGGGAACGCGAGTGAAGTTGTGTGATTTGTTTTATTTTGTCTGTTTAGTGTTTCTTCAAGTTTAAATGTGTAATAACGGTGGTATATTAACTATTTAATATCTGTGAAAGTGCACATATGTGAGAAAATGAAACAAAGCCGCTGGACGTAACTTCTCGGGATCCTCCAAAAAGTCCACTGAAAAAATCTCAGTAAATGACCACCATTTTACTGAGATTATATTTCATCCCAGTTGATTGATGTCTCAAATTAATCATCTCCATTTCATTTCACTCCATATTATTATTTTTCATAAAAATAAGAATATAAATTAAAATAAGACATGACAAGACATAAGGTCTTAGTTACCAGGTCATAAAATCCCTTAAAAAAAATAGTTTTTTTTTATAATGCGATTGACTCTTTATTGTTGTGGGCACAGGACGAGGCGTCCGCGGCGGTATCGCGGCTGCTGTCGTACGTGGCGCCGGGTTGGCGGCGGCGCGGGGCGCTGCGGCCGCGCGTGCTGGACGTGCGCGTGGCGGCCGCACGCCTCCGCGCCGCGCTGCACGACCTGGCAGTCTTCGCTGACGCTACACTAGCCAATGCACACGATGCACATGATAAAGGTAATTCGATTCGTATTATCTCTCCATTACGTTTTTCATTACTGGTGGTAGGACGTCATCGTGGCCTAAACGATAAGACGTCCGGTGCATTCGTATCTACCGATGCACCGGTGTTCGAATCCCTCAGGCGGCTACCAATTTTTCTAATGAAATACGTACTTGACGAATGTTCACGATTGACTTCCACGGTGAAGGAATAACATCGTGTAATAAAGATCAAACCTGCAAAATTATAATTTGCGTAGTTACTGGTGGTACGACTCTTGTGAATCTGCACGGATAGGTACCACCACCCCGCCTATTTCTGCCGTGAAGCAGCAGTATAATCCGTTTCGGTTTGAAGGGTGGGGCAGCCGTTGTAACTATATTGAGACCTTAATATTCATATGTGAAGGTGGGTGGCGGCATTTACGTTGTAGACGTCTGTGGGCTTCAGTGACCACTTAACACCAGGTAGGCTGTGAGCTCGTCCACCCACATAAGCAATAAAAAAAATGTCCCTATTCTACCTGTAGTCCCTATTGCTTCCAATCTACTGTACCCCTTAAATAATCATTTCTTATTTAATCCATTCCCGTCGCTCTAACATTTCAATGTTACGTATTCTAATATAATCCGTACGCTCTTAGGCATAGCGGTCAAACTCCGGCCGCTGGTGAAGGCTTTGAAAGATGCCGAGCGCATCACTCACGAGGCGACGAGCGCGCTGGACGCGGGCGACTGGGCGGCCGAGCGGCTGGAGCGCGACCGCGAGCCCACCGACGGGACGCTCGACGCGCTCGACCAGCTCGTCGCGTGCGCTCGCTCGCTCACCGAGGACGTGAGGCGAGCCGCTTCCTTCATCAACGGGAACGCGTCGTTATTGTTCAGGTACGGAAATATGGAAACGAAGTTAATTATGGGATGATGCGGAGGGGTACCCTAACCGGGAAAAAACGTCCGTAACGTAAGATTTTTATTAGTAACGCTCACAGTGTACGACTTAACTTTGTAATAACGTACAAAAAATAACATATTTTTTTATCATTCATTGACCACGATCTCAGAGCGTTCGTTTGCGCAATACACTAATTCTTATGTAAACAACCGTGAATGAAGTGTACCACAATAAGTTCGCACGTTACCGAATGACCGTGGGTTGTTGCGAAACCTCCAGTTTTATTTTCTTTATATTATTTTATATATTAATATTTTTATAATAAAGAACTTCGTTCCTATCCGTTGTCCCACGACACCACACATCTTTTTTATAATTACAATTTGCCGCCGCTTATAGTTAAACATAGCAGTCGTCGCGGCCTAAAGGATAAGACGTCCGGTGCATTCGTATGTAGTGATGCATCGGTGTGCGAATCCAGCAGGCGGGTACCAGTTTTTCTAATGAAATACGTACTTAACAAATGTTCACGATTGACTTCCACGGTGACTTCAACATCGTGTAATAAAAAATCAAACCCGCAAAATTATAATTTCCGTAATTACTGGTGGTAGGACCTCTTGTGAGTCCGCACGGGTAGGTACCACCACCCTGCCTATTTCTGCCGTGAAGCAGTAATGCGTTTCGGTTTGAAGGGCGGGGCAGCCGTTATAGGTAACTATACTGAGACCTTAGAACTCGTATCTCAAGGTAGGTGACGGCATTTAGTGACCACCTGAACACCAGGGCTGCGAGCTCGTCCACCCGTCTAGGCAATAAAAAAAATCTAAACTATTATTGTACTATTACAGGCGTTCCCCGGCAGTACCGGAACATGAATGGACTGAGGAGTACGATTACGTGAGGCTGGAGTCCCGGACAGCGGTCGGCCGCAAGCACGCTGAGATACGAGCAGCACTGCCGGACAAACTCCAGGCCTCCTTCGATGCGCTCGTTAGAGACGCCGATCACGCTGGAGAGGTATATTTGAAGCTTATTCCTATCCTCTTAATAACTTATTGTAACGAAGGTCCCATTCTTTATATTGGTCTATGGTGCACGAATGAGTTCTTGGCTGCGAGTTATTATCAATCTCTGACAAAATTGTGTGGTATCTTTGAAGGAAAGTTGCTACATAAATTCCTACGCCTTGTATTGTTTTTTGATACCGCGATTCAAACCAGAATGTCTTTCCATCGTTATACCTAAGCCTCATCGTTCAGTTTTTTTTTCACGATCGCCGCTGCGGGCGTTTTGTTTGATATGTGTTTATGGTATGTTTGATAGTCGGATAAAATATTCACGGCAGAAATAGGCGAGGTGGTGGTACCAACCCGTGCGGACTCACAAGAGGTCCTACCATGAGTAAAAAATGTATTAATAGATTTTTATGTGTATATTGTACTTATTAACAGAGACATTAAATTAATTATTCGCAATGCAGGTGAGTGCCGTAGCTGCGGCCACAAGGCTACCGCATGACGACCGCCAGCTAGCCGCATTCTACGCGGCACAAGTGGCCACGTACGGAGCACACCTCTCCACGGCCGTGGAAGCATTCCTACGGACCATTGACATGGGTCAGCCGCCCGACGTTTTCTTGGCACACGGCAAGTTCGTCGTCCTCAGCGCTCACAGAATTGTACACGTCGGCGACACAGTACATAGGTATGTTGTTTAACACGAGAAACGCTCAATCGGAATACCAAAACAATAATATTTAACCTTTTGACTGTCATACGTCACAGGTCGATTACTGTTAATAAGCGTCTCGATTGCCTAACGTTGTCTTCTTTTGTTTGTAAATTTTTATTTGTCTTTTAGGTCCCTTAAATAAATAGAGATTCATTCTCAATATTTTCGAGTTCGTCTTTCCCAGTCTAAATTGACCCGGCGGACTTCGTAGTGCCTCAATCGAGCAATAAAAGACCTAAGCTTTTGTATAAAATAAAACTTAAAACAAACAAAAGGAATCCGTCCGACAGGGGAAACATAATAAGAAAAACAAAATTGTTATTTTTTATTTAATTCCAAGCATTTTTATATTTATCTATCTTTTAAACCTTCTCTGGACTTCCACAAACAATTCAAGACCAAAATTAGACAAATCCGTCCAGCCGTTCTCGAGTTTTAGCGAGACTAACGAACAGCAACTCATTTTATATATTATTATATAGATAAGATTTACTTAATATTAATAACTTCCTCAGGAGCGCCCAGCACGCCGCCTTAAAAGCGAAAGCTCTGCGGTGTTCGGATGCGTTGTCGGACGCGCTGGCCGCGACCGTCGCCAAGACCAAGGCGGCGGCGCAGCAGTTCCCGTGCGCGAGCGCGGTCGCCGAGATGGCGGAGGCGGCGCGCACGCTGGCGGCTCGCGCGCACGACCTGCGCCGCGTGCTGGTGCGCGCCGCCGACCCGCCCCCCGACNCACCGTGCGCTCGCGCTTGAACTGCCTCCCGATGCCCAGTTGAATGGAGCACCTCGAGCTTGTCCCCTCTGTCGGACGAACGTTAGAAACGCTAGTTATTTCTTCCATGCGAGAGTCGCGGCGTCGAACGCCTGAATTTAACGATGTAACCAAAGAGTTTACGAAACAGGACTTCCGATTTGAACGTAGACTGCATTATGAAGTTGTTATACTGAGAGTTTCTATTTAATTAGAATTAAGCGCGACGAAACGAAGGCTGCTCCCGATGAGTTTTGCTAGACGGTATCAGACGAGTGGAGCATATTTAGTGTTGCTGCTGGATGCTCATCTTGCCGTTGTGACTTGAGTTGTCCGTCCAGTTTTGTACGATTTTGCATTTTTTGCGTGTTACAATAAATATCATTGCCGATGATCCTAATGCGTGTGAATTGTTGTGAGACTTTCGTAAAAAATATTTTATAATATTCCGAATGTCGATTGAGTTGGACGCTTCCAATGCTCTCCCAAAACGATTTTTTTTGTATTACTGAAAATAAATCATAGGCGTTTCTCATTGGAGCCTAACACAATTATTATCTGTATTAAAAAAAAAACTTCTCAGCCTTCATTCGTTTACACAGTTAATGTGCAAAATTATTGTTAGTTACTTATGCATTAGGTAAAAGTACATTACTACCGTATACTACGAGTTAACATACAAAAGTCATGCTGATTATTTGCAGCGAAAGGCATTGTGAGATAGACAATACATTTCTTTGAAGTTCCTTGAGAAAATTAGCTTTTAGAGAAACCTTTTTCAGTTCGAACGAGTACGTTCGTTGATTAATACGAAATTAAAAAGTAACAAATTTTTAAAGCTGGCAACATCGAAGATCAAAATGAATTAACCAGGACGAATAAAGCCTCAATGAAAAGAAAAGTGCTCAATTATTAAGATTCACATTCAAATGTGACTTAAAAATAATTGCATAGTTGCAATATTCATGTTACAATTACAATGTTTTTTTTAAATTATTATTTATACGAAGCTGCAATGTCCCGTATGGTCTGAAAGTCATATAACTTGACAACTTGACTCTTGCCACTAAACGGTTACAGCTATGTAGTACCTGACGATATCACTGTGACGCATTTAGATAAATAATATGGTGCTTTTATGTTTCAAAGACGAATTTATACCTAAAAATCGGCAGCGTTTTGTATGAAACATTTATGATGATAATAAAGTATTTTAGTTTTATGTTAAATTAAGATTTAAAATAAACATTGCAGGCTCTCGGACTGTACGGGGGCATGATGGAAACGATATCAATGTAAAAATCATGTTGTATAAAGCAATATGTAATATATATATACTATGTAGTCGTAGTGAATTAGTTAGGTTCTAGATGAAATTGTGTACAGTTACATTTAAAAACGGATTTTAATAATAATAATAATAATAATTTAATCGTCTTGTAAAACGCAATCAAATAAAATATACAAATTTTCATATCTACTTTGAGTTTTATTGTTTATAGTCTAAAAATAATTTAATAATACCAGAGCTAAAAACTCGAAAACCTTTCAGAAAATTTTCAACATTTATTAATATTGTACATACATTTATTGGTTATCATTTATTCATCTTAGATAATTACGCAACATCAGACAGATTTCATGTCAGGTAATTTACTATTTTTCAAAAATCGCATTTTTGTAAATTAAAAAAAAAAAACAAAGTACGAAATATATTCGGCCTTTGGCTTTGGTATCCAATTTTGTAATATTAATTCAATTTTATAATTAAATTCCTACAAACAATACGATACACTTAACAGATAACTCAGTCTTCATTTTATCTAAAATATTAATGACGATCGTAACAATGAATCTAATTTTAGTAAATGCGTTAAGATTCATTCTAACCTCAAACGAATGTTTCGCTAATATTGTAACCCCAAACACGTTACGGTTACATCAGGTATTCTGATACCGAAGCAGATATTCTTCGGCCCTAGCTTCTTCGGGGGTGAACCCGAGGGCCGGGTGGGATCTGGGTAGCTTCGTGGCGGCCGCGACGGCTTCAAGTCTGGCAGCCCTTAAACGCAACGATGCCTCTAATGCATCCGATTCCATAGCGTTCTCTATCCTTCTCCTTTCAAGCTGAAATGTACATTAAATATTTTAGGCAAACGTGACTAGTAATAGCGGGAGCCATGTATTGGCTAATAGTGATGGGACTCTGACAATTGACATAAGCGGATACGAACGAGCGACAATTGACCGAAAGAGGGTTGAACGAGAAAAATGATACAATTGGGAGCAAACGGTGATTCAATATATAGATTAGAGTGTATTTTTTTGCTTTTCCTACCTATGCTGATAGCCTTGAGAGGCTATTTCAGCTTCTCTTTGACTGGCCCTAGCAAAGACAGTGCTTCGCAGAATCTACCGCTGGATCGGAAACGCGACCCACTGAGAAGATCCGGCGAGAAACTCAGTGGACTGGGAGTGTATTGATATAGAGTGAATACTATTGCGTAATAGGTATAGATGGATATTTGGAATAGCCATTTAGCCTACACAAAAAAATACGTGAAAGACGATATGTGTAAGAGGGAAGTGAGCGAAGAAATGGTATATGATAGAGGAGTATGGAAGGAGAATACATGTCGTGCCGACCCCAGGTGACTGGGAAAGGCAGGAGAATGATGAAAAAAATAATCATTTAGAACTTGTTGCTGATGTTGTTGATCTGTGCGGACGTTCACGAGACACGCGTGCCTTCGAGTGCTTTCGTGTCACATTGTTGTGGATTTTTTTTTTAAATCCCGGAAAATATATCCACTCGCGAAAAAGGTGGTATAGGGGGGAACGATGTCGTGTGACGTGATAACTCGATTTTGATTGTCTGTTATTTTAATTGGGAGAGTTGTTATATGTTAAAATCGTATTTATTATTGTGTCCTAAAACCCAGCTTGTAACAACACCAATGCTATATCGTTCTTGACCTCATGTTAAAACCCGCAAAATTTAGAAGATTTGGTATCATCTCACTCATTCCCTTGTATCTCACCTTGGCAGTTTCCCTTTTATAACTCAACAATTCTATTTTTAACTTGGTCACCTCTTTGTCTTCTGTCTGTGTTACATCTAAAAAATAATAATGAAATAATGTTATGAAATAGTGTTCGTCCAAAGATCGTAACTTGCCTTATCTGACACCTCAATATTTAGATTGAGTTTATGTATTATATTTTTACACCTTCTGAATCATCGTTCACTTAATAGAAAATAAAATTTTATATTTTTTTTATTAATTATTGGTAACACGAAATTCGTCAATTGTGACTAAAGAACAAAAAACCAACTCTGTTGCCTTTGTCTATTTATGTCTAGTAAACTCACACTTCATAAAAAATCGAGAATATTGTTTTTTTACAATTAGCAGATATAGGCGAAACTTTATTCTTATCAATATCGTTCGACTAAAGAAACATATTGACATAAGGAAACAAATAAAAAGGTTCACGGAAACCAGTGCCATAATTTTCTTGAAAATCGAGTAAACTTACCTATACCGGAATCCGCATTTAGAACTGTCATCAGTGGGTCCTGAATGAAATCCGTTGCATTCACAGTATTGTGTTCATCGCTATGAGGGATTGCATCATTATCATCATCACATATTTCATCGAGATCAGAATAGTCTTTTTCGGAAGGCTCTCGTTTTACGATATACTGAAATTCGATGCATTTTTCAATACATATTTAGATTTTATTATTTTTTAAATCACGATTTGCGTTATTTGAATCGTCTATTATCAAAGGTGGCAATCTGTGCATTTGGACAAAAAATTTTTATTGATATGTCAATACAGATTGATTTGAATATAATCGTCTCCTTCAAAGAATACGGTTCAAAACCTGCATTAAATAAAGGTTAATACTTAACCTGTTATTTATCTAAGATGTCGTTCCGAAGAGTTTTGTGACTGCCAATGGAATACAAAGTCAATAATTCGTTTTTTTGATTTACCAATCATTGTCCAAAAGTCAGATTGCCGGCTTTGATAATAGTCGACTCATTTCAAGGGCAATTGAAGTGCAATAATCATCATCATCAGCTTTCAGTCACTTCTGGATGTAGACCTTGACCATGGTACACCGCAACGACCGGTGTCGCGCTGCCCGCGATTTGACCTTGACCAGGGTATTTGACCTTAGGGGGAGGCCAGGCTGCGGTGTGACCACTCGAGAAGTTTACCCCCAGCGTGATCAGTTTTACGAGCAGTGTGTCCTGCCTACGGACACTTTAACCATGCATGTCGTTTGGTTGTTTGCTGGATTCTCTTGCAAAACTCCTCATTCCGGCAAAAAAAAGTATGATCAATAAAAAGATTTAATCCTGCTTGCTTCCTCATTTTTAAAACCGACTCAAAACAATTTAACAATGTAAATTAATTTTTCTTTGTTTATTCGATAAATTTCGTGTTCGGAGCAAATTGGATTTTTATTATGAAAAATTTCCAGTATTTATGTTGATCTAACAATTGTTTTCAAAATAATAAATATACATTTATTTTCTTAATGTACGAACCGACATGAGTATCTTGATATGTTTTCGAACTCGATCTTATTTTCGTTAAAAATAAATAAATAAACACAATTACGTAACGTGTTACGTACCCTAGTAACATGCATTTTGTTAATTCGCTATTTCGCAATTAGCAACCAGTGGCGTACGTGACTACAAATTGTCGACGCAGCAAACTCATTCCATGTTCATGGAAAATTACGCGACTGGCGTCAAGTGCTGACACTGCAGCGTCGCTATGCCGCCCGGGCCGGGGCCCGCTGGCGCCACTTCGGTACTGACATCGTCCAAGTCCACTCAATAGCATCTTAGTTTAATTAATTGTATAATTATAATTCTATAATAAATAAGTTAATAGAATTTTGGTTTTTTTTAAACGCTACGGCTGTAGTCTACATAATTGGCGCAGTCGGTAGGATATTCGAAGCAGTGCGCGGCGCGGTAAAGAACTCCAGAAATCGTTGATTCTGCCGACTCCGTATAGTCGCTGCTCGTGCTATCAAGCCTTATCGAATACCTGAATCGTGAAGACACAGCCGGCGTAGTATCTGGAAATCGATACGCGAGAAGACCAAAATGATATATCGTATGATTCTACTGAACCTCCTGACCCGACATCTGACGACCGCACACGAGATAAAACTTGAGACCCTCGAGAACGGACCTGGACTTTTACCTTTTAAACTCGGACAGACTAGACTCGTATCCCACTATCATTCCTTTTTACAATATATAGAATTAGCTGATGTAGACAACAGACTCGACTCAGTACAAACTCAACTAAAATATTTTAAAGACCAACTAGACGAACACACTTATCTCCTTTATGAACTGCAAATAAACTACCGAACTAGCAAAATCACTAAAATCAATTCTAAAATTAACAGCCTCAAACCCAATCGTGTAAAAAGAGGTCTCATTGATGGCTTAGGTTCAATTGTTAAAAGCATTACAGGTAACCTAGACCAGTCAGAGGCCGAACTTTACAGTAAAGCAGTTAAAATTTTGCAAAATAATGAT